TTTAGTAAAGGCGCATTAATTGATTACTTGATTAGAACAATCATCCAGCGGTCTAATGTGGGGCGGTTTGACGTCTGCCGGTTCCGTGAAAGCACGCCCCCAAATAGGCCGCTTCTGAGCGAAAAAAAACGCCTCTTTATAAAGAAAATCTTTGCCTCCTATCAGCGATGATTAGGCCGAAACTTTTTTCGTCCAACTTTACCCGACAGGTCTACCAGGCGCCTGACACTCGACTAACGTCGTGCTTGGAGCGGTCCCCTGGATTCGCTTGAAAGCACCAGTCGCCGGCGTTAAATGTATTCATTTAATGACAGTAGCTCTTTAATAAAGGCGCATTAATTGATTACTTGATTAGAACAATCATCCAGCGGTCTAATGTGGGGCGGTTTGACGTCTGCCGGTTCCGTGAAAGCACGCCCCCAAATAGGCCGCTTCTGAGCGAAAAAAAACGCCTCTTTATAAAGAAAATCTTTGCCTCCTATCAGCGATGATTAGGCCGAAACTTTTTTCGTCCAACTTTACCCGACAGGTCTACCAGGCGCCTGACACTCGACTAACGTCGTGCTTGGAGCGGTCCCCTGGATTCGCTTGAAAGCACCAGTCGCCGGCGTTAAATGTATTCATTTAATGACAGTAGCTCTTTAATAAAGGCGCATTAATTGATTACTTGATTAGAACAATCATCCAGCGGTCTAATGTGGGGCGGTTTGACGTCTGCCGGTTCCGTGAAAGCACGCCCCCAAATAGGCCGCTTCTGAGCGAAAAAAAACGCCTCTTTATAAAGAAAATCTTTGCCTCCTATCAGCGATGATTAGGCCGAAACTTTTTTCGTCCAACTTTACCCGACAGGTCTACCAGGCGCCTGACACTCGACTAACGTCGTGCTTGGAGCGGTCCCCTGGATTCGCTTGAAAGCACCAGTCGCCGGCGTTAAATGTATTCATTTAATGACAGTAGCTCTTTAATAAAGGCGCATTAATTGATTACTTGATTAGAACAATCATCCAGCGGTCTAATGTGGGGCGGTTTGACGTCTGCCGGTTCCGTGAAAGCACGCCCCCAAATAGGCCGCTTCTGAGCGAAAAAAAACGCCTCTTCATAAAGAAAATCTTTGCCTCCTATCAGCGATGATTAGGCCGAAACTTTTTGCGGCCAACTTTACCCGACAGGTCTACCAGGCGACTGACACTCCACTAACGTCGTGCTTGGAGCGGTCCCCTGGTGTTTTTTAAAGGCACTAGTCGCGGGCGTTAAATGCACTCTGGTTAAATTTATTCGTATAATGACGATAGCTATTTAATAAAGGTGCATTGATCGATTAAATTATTAGAACAATCATCTAGCGGTCTAATAGGGGCGGTTTGACGTGCGCTGGTTGCGTGAAAGCACGCCCCCAAATAGGCGGCTTCTAAGCGAAAAAACGCCTCCTTACCAGGAAAATCTTTGCCTCCTATCAGCGCTAATAAAACCAAAACTTTTTTTCGCCAAACTTCGCTGTTTAACCCCGATGGGCCTACCAGCCGTCTGACACTCCGCTAACGTCGTGCTTGCAGCGGTCCCCTGGTGTTTTTTAAAGGCACTAGTCGCGGGCGTTAAATGCACTCTGGTTAAATTTATTCGTATAATGAAAATAGCTATTTAATAAAGGTGCATCGATTGATTACTTTATTAGAACAATCATCTAGCGGTCTAATAGGAGCCGTTTGACGTGCGCTGGTTGCGTGAAAGCACGCCCCCAAATAGGCCGCTTCTGAGCGAAAAAAAACGCCTCCTTATCAGGAAAATCTTTGCCTCCTATCAGCGCTGATAAGGCCAAAACCATATCCAGCCATATCCTCGCATCGTCCTTTATTGGTCAATTACGTACAACGTCAATAAGCAAAGGCGGTGTGAGCGAGAGATGCCTTGCTTCGTGCACGGGCTCAGGAGCACGTTCCGGTGAGGCAGGTTCCCATCGGCGAAAAGTTGCGATTGCCGAAGTCTTGAGAAAAACAGCAGGACCCGGGAGACTTGACGTTGGACTGCTGTCGCCAGTCCTGCGGTCGCCTGAAAAAGAGCCGCCACGCTTATGAGCACTGCCACTACCAATGATGCACTGAAATAGAGTGGAATAGAGTGAATAGAGTGCACTGAAATAGAGTTGCACCAATGTGGGTTGCAGCAGGATCAGTTTTTCCCAGTGTCCTGATGCAACAACTCCAGCAACGCGGTCCTCAAATCTCAGCTCAAATTGCTACATTTTGCTATAAGCGTCGGTGATGCAACTTTCTTCTATTATCTGGACATAAAGCTACCTGTTAATAACATGCTTTTGTTTTTTTTATCTTGAGGTGGCACCAAAAATACCATCTTATCTCCCTAAAACCTTTACATCATGAAAACGATATACTGCGAACCAGAACCAAGTGTTCTGTCACCACTCGCCACCCCAGGGGGTCAGATAAAGAATACTGTGTTCCCAATTGGCTCTTATCGTTTCGGTCTCCGAGCTGTTCGTTCGTTTAAAGCCTGACCTGATCCCAGCAATTTGAGTCGCAACGAGGGGATTCTAGGGAGCAACTAAAGCAACAGCAATCCTGGTACTGATAGAAAAATTGCTCTGTCTGAAGCGGGCCTTGGCAAGCTGCTATGCTTGAGCTTACTACTACTTGGTTAAGCATAGCAGACGGAAAATGTTCGGCACACGATTTCGTTCATTGACGATTCGTTGGTGACTTTCAACTGCAAAACTATAAAACCAGTCCTCAGGCTGTAGTGTCCACTCGGTTGAACATTGAGATTCCGAGATTTTCGAGAACCGTAGAAATACTAGATGTGCATTTTTCCTGTCAGTTTTTTTTCGAAATAACAAAGTACATGTTTTCCATACATCGCAAATCGAAAAACCTGAGCCAGTGTCACCGCAGAGATAGCATTAGCATTAGTACCGTATTCTTATCTACGACATTAAAATAATTTCACTCGGATGGACGTTTGTAGCTGGCAAATACCGCTTCGTTTGTTTTCAATTTGCTTGAACTTCAGCTGTTTTACTTTACCGTGACAACAGAACACCCTCGCTGCTTGACTGGTTGTGAAGCGTGCGGCGAGCTACGTCGTTTAAAGCGGAATTTGCAGAGTTTGTCATCATGTTGGACCGTCTTCATAACTATTGCGTCTGTGTGTATTGCGGAAAAAAGAAGTGAGGAAACACTTGCAGCTGTAGTCACCGAGTTGAGAATGGCAGGGAGATCTTTCGGCTGTCCCGCCTTCAGCGCCAGCATCCTACCTTCGATAACACTTCAGCGTCTCATGAGCGTCGAGTGTGCGCGAGCAGCCAATGTGTGGCAGAGGGCCATGAGCATGTGTTGGAGGCCGGGCACTCGAAAGAGACACTCTGCCATACTCGTCTTGTCAGTACAATCACGCACCTCCCAAAGATGGCGGGGACGATATTCCAGCCCTCGTCTGTTGCCTCCAGAGCCACTTCAAGTGCTTGGCAGCGGCGATGATACTGCAATTTGAAGTTTTTCAGGCATGAAACTAGAAATTTGAACGCTGACTCTGCGACCCCAAGACGGCTGCCTTCTCGAATCAAGCGGGTTAACTTTTACAACCACATAGGAACGAAGACTCAGGGGGTGGCTTTAGAAATGAAATGCTAGCTTCTGAAAAATGCTTTTCTCACAAACGGACTGTAAAGTTTAGCAAGGTGCATCTATGCAACAATGTGCCATCGCATTGAATTGTATTTACAAGCGCTGCAAGCCAGTTGCAATTTGGGGATTTCTCAAATTCCGCAGTACTAATTGCTTCATGACGGAGGCTTAAAGACGGAGACAACTGAACTATGATGTACATATTAGAGATAATCATCGGGAAACCAGGGCCTTAGAGGGCAACTTGAGATGATCACAGCCGTCTCCCCAAGGCCGTGATCATATTTCCCTAGCACGAAATATAATCACAGCCGAAATATTATGTCAAGGTGAGACCGCATATGCTACACTAAAACCGATTTTCAAGATGAGACCAGTTGCTCTTTAGCGGGCGGCAAAGCGGGTTTGCTTTTAGTCAAGGAACAATGGCGCAGCACCCTTGTGATGTCACGTCGCACTGGAGCTGTGGTTAATTCGTTGTACCGCGTAACGCTGCACCCTTATGACGTCACACCGCAGCAGTCCCTCGAGCAGATAGTTTCGGTCTTGCCACAGATGCCCGAACCAAACTTTGAGCTGCGATATTTATAAAACTAAACACAATATTGAAAAAACAAAACAAAGAAACTATAGATACTAATTTAGGGACACTGCTCAGCTGAAAACAGTTGTAATCCCAAATTCGAAAATAGTGACCATAGTTGCCGTTTAAACGATTTAAACCATATTTTAAACTATGCATTTAAACCTAGTTAAAAAAGCTAATATACTAACAGAATTAGAACGAAAGAGTGAGTAATTGAGTCTTCACTAGAATCGAAGCCGCAAAACGTGCAAAAATGGACCGTACTTTGTTTCACCTTACAATGAACCGTAGGGGATGGTACAAGTCATCGAAGGTCAATCCAATGCCGTGCGTGTCACGTGACCTCCGGGAAGGGTGCAGCAACGCGCAGGGAGCATAGTCACGTGGTTTGTTCGTAGCACTGAATTGGCTAACATGTCTTAGGGCATAGGTCCTCAAACTGGGTTACCTAGAGTATTTCATCACAGGTTCCCAGAGCCCCCGAATTTCATGGACCGTCCCTGCCGCTAAGCGTTCTTCCAGCTCAGTCATTATTTCAGCAGGTCGGAGCCATCTATCGATGCATAACTATGTATCAAACGCTTCCTAGTATGTGAACATCATTGTTTAGGTCTGCAGGATTCTGCACTTCTATTTCTTTTAAACCAGCGCCAAAACCGGGATGGGTCACTCGGCTTTCAGTCAAGCCCGATAAGGCGAGATACGAAAGCTTGAAAACTCCCGGTGTATAGTTTCTGCCGCGGTCCATTGTAAGGTGAAACGGAGCATAGCGAGCTCTACTGCATACGGACATTTTTCACAACTTTACCATTGAGGTACCAACGGACGGCATCCTACAGTTTTTAGAACTGCAGATTACTTTCAACAAGAACCAGACCTGCTGGATGTACCACCCACGTTCTAAAAAACGGCTATTGCGCTATGACTCATCCCATCCCAAACTTGTAAAGCGAGGCATAGTGTCTAATTTCTTAAGCATGGCGCTAAACAAGTCATGTGAGCACAAAGCAAAATCAAGCTTCGAATTACAAGTGGCTCGTTTGAAAGCTTCGGCGTACCCCTTTCCAGTACTGACTGACATCGCCGAGAAGTTATTGACAACGAACAAAAGAAGAGAAAAAATAAAAGAGAAGGGACGCCGTCCGGCTGTGGTGCCTTACATCCACAAGATTTCGCACAACATGAAGAAGATAGCATCCGCGTTTGAAGTCCAAGTCGTCCTATCGGCACCGGATAAATTAGAACGAATGTGCCCAAAAATCAACAATGTCAAGTAACAACATCATGAATGCAACATAAACCACAAGCACCAGTATGTCGACTGCAACAGCGGAGTGGTGTATGAAATCCCTTTCACATGTGGGAAAGTGTATATAGGACAGACTGGACGTTGCATAAACACACGACTGAGAGAACATGCCCTGACCCTGCAGTCAACACCTTCTGGACATTTAGCCATGCATGTGCGAGATTGCTCCTGCACGCCTTTGCTTTCAAACACAAAAGTGATCGGACGTTTTAAAGAAAAAAGGAACAGGGAAATCTATGAAGCACAGACCATACAAGCCAATGGAGAAAAATGCGTCTCCGCACCATCTTTGGCGTTGACGGACAAAGTGGTTCAGTACTTGAACCACTATACATAATCACGTTTGCACGTGAGCGCGTGAGGTGGTGCACCGGGTGGGTCTATGCGCTCGCGCCAGTATAGCTTTGGCTGTGGTGCCTGTTGGATGTAAAAAGGTAAATAAGCTGTACGAGGAACTGATCGGCGGCCTTTGGACAATCACTTTTTTATTTTCTATTAATTTTTTATCCAATTTTTTTATTCTCAATTTGTCTCCCACGGTCCAGGGGTTATTTTCTAAGCCTTCAGAATAGTATCGTATAGAGTTCAAAATCGTTACCTTTGTTTAATTTTTACTAATTTCGTTTTGGTCTGCTGTGTTTTAATCTTTCTAGTCTAACAATCTTCTTAGAGCGCCCGGTTAGAAAAAGACCAATTTTTTCTTCTTTTTTCAACTCCAGACACTTCCTTCACCTTCTTCTTTAACGTTGTATATAAAACCGTCAGTTGTGAGTTAGCGCCTGTCCTGTCCATTTCTTTGTCTGTCCTCGTCCTAGCACTGTTTGTAATTTAATGCGTACGGACAAGAAAGACAATGCTTGGTCGGAGGCCTGGTCGCTCGAGTCCCGGCGAGACGCGGAAGTAATGTACGGTGGTGAAGAGGCTCACCTCGCAAGTGATCTGCCATAGTGAGCGCTGCGATGGAGGAAGCATCTGGGGATCGACAGGAAGCGTCAGGTGGCGCTGCGGCCCGCCGACGTCCATCAGCTGGACATGGTTCCCGCTGCAAACCACCCTGGCCCCTGCGCCACGTGCAGAAACGATTGCCTGGCTTAATACAAACAACAAGCGTTTTCTGCAGTCGCGGCATCGGCTGTACCAATTCTGATCCGCCACTGGCACGTTTTTGTTTTTTTTTTATATTATTTCCGGGGGGGGGGGGGAAGTTTTTTTGCTTGCGTCCTTGGACAGAGGCTCAAAGCGAGCTTGTCACATGAATCTGGACAGCCATTCACACTCTCTGGTGTGCACTGCTGACGTACTCACTGAAATTGTCTCTGCACGCTGCAACTTGCACACTTTCTCATGCTTTTTTTCATGCCGTGCACGGCATCCGTCCTGTCCTGTTTGGACAGCCCATTAGGTGCTCTGTTGAATGCAGTGAAAGTGTGGTTACACTTGATGGGAATTTCGGTGGGAAATTTAAAACATTGATTTCCCCATTAAATATAGCGAAAAAATTAATGTCACGTGGCCTGACATTACATGACGTCAGGTCGCGTGACATCCATTTTTTCGCTAAGTTCGGCATGAAAATTATTATGGCGTCATCTAACGTAGTCACGTCATGTGACATAGTCACGTCATATCACGCTGTCACGTGATGCCAATATCTATGATGAAAGTTGGCGGTTTATAATCGGCTCCAGATCACAAGACTGCTTGGTATGGCTGCTTGCTGAAGGGGTGAACGCAGCTCATTTTTCTCGACGACTGCTACTGCGTGGTAAGAGAAACTAATGTGGGTCTTGTGGGTTACAAACGTCGAGGTTTAAGTCCAAGCGGTACTCGCCGAAAGTACAAAAATCATTGTGCCAGCCCTTGAGCACGCTAAGACCTACCAGAGTAGAAGCTAGCTTCAAGGTCGCCGCTGCCCAGAAGGATGCAGAGCGCGTACTCCGCGTACAGGATGATCTTGGGCGTCTTCTGCCGCACCAATGACACGAACTTTGCCGCGCACGCATACTTCGCCCAGAGCGCCTGGGGCAGGGCGTCCCAGGAGTGCACCAGAGCGCCTTGGGGTGGGGCCGGGGCCACCCCTTCCCTGGAGAGGTGCCAGCCGAGCGGTGGCTTGTAGAAGACCACACGGGTGCCGTCAGAGGAGACGCGCAGCACCCGGGTCACCTTTGTTGCGTTCGGGACGGTGACGACCTCAGGCGCGGAACCAAGGGCGGGGCTGTGGCTCGCTGCTAGCATGGCCCCGAGGAAACAGGCCTGGAGTGGGAGTACTGAAGTAGAACTTTTATATACAGTTAATATACAAGTAGCATGGTCGAGTGGTTAGTCGGCAATCGGCGATTTCGGGCTCCCCAATCCTAAGTTATATAGCCCTCCGAGGGCGAGAAGGCCCTCTGAAAGAGAGGGGCCTTCCTCGGTGTTCAAGTGTTCATGAGGTGTCCGAAGTGCAGGGGCGGCTGATGCAATTTCCGGGTGTTCTTTCAGCGAGGGGCAGATGATGTAATCATTCGACGTTCTTGCTGCGCTCCGGTGGCTGATGTAAGGAGTCGACGCTCTTGCTGAAACCCAACACCGACGGACCCACACACATACACAGGCACGCACACGCACGCCGGTGTTTCTCCTTGCGAAGGCTGCAGGTCCCAGATGGTCTTGTGGCCTCCGGGAAACATTCTGTTTGTGTTTACAGCCCTCCTCGAAGGCCATCACCGGCCCAATGACTCAAGGGCCGATCTCGGGAATCTGAACGTAACTGTCTAGCGCCGTTAGTGACAGGTGAAGGCGAACTCCAGGACGGAGCCAAGGAAGGCAGTTGTAACACCTTGTGGTTGCGTGCGCGGAACTCCACACTGACTTGGCCGTCTTCGAGGATGCTCAACTGCAACAACATGGCGGGAAGGGCCAAGCCTGTACAGTCTGCAACACTACGAGCTAGCCCGTGGGTTCTCGAAATGGGTTTTTAGAAACACCATGAATTCCCCAGTGGACCGTTGTGGACTCCTCGAGCTCCCAGATTTCCTCGGCTGTCCCTAAACAAGGTGCTTTTCGGTTTAAAGGCTGGTTCACACACTTGTGACTGCTTACGACGGAGTGGCTTAAAACCTCTCGGGATCTCTTACGGCTAGAGTACACACTGACGCATTTCCGTTTACATTCTAATTTTCGCATGCAGCCTCTTTTTTTTTTTCTTGGTTTGAAGAAGTTTAAATGATGTCATAATCAATCATTTCTGATAGATAGATGGTAGTACATTTGATTTTGCAAACACAGCAAAACCTCCACTCTAATGAAATGCAGTTCCAGGGTTACCTTATAGATAGGGCTGTGCATTTCCGGTTTTTATTTTTTCAAAATTCGGGATACTTTTTTCAGTGTTTATTTTGAAATTCAATTTTCGGTTTTTATTTTTTCAAAATTCGGCATACTTTTTTCAGTGTTTATTTTGAAATTCAATTTTCGGTTTATATTTATTCCCAAAAAAGTGTGCCGTTTTTTTCGGTGAATATGAAAGAAACACCATCAAACACCGGATTAGATGATCCTTGAAGCTGCGATATTTGTGATCACTCAAAGAATAACGGCACATACACATGCGTGGTCTCCGCTGCAACTTCCATCAGGAGACACCTCAAAATCGCGCTATTCGCGGGCACAATCTTCAGCGCGCAACTTTTTCCTTCCCATTCTGACGACGTGATTGTCGGGGGTGATAACCGTACAAAACCCAGCGGAATGAAAAGAAAAACGAAAAAAAAACATTGTATTTATGTTTTCAACCACAGGGAAGTTTGAGAGAGGGTGTTAAGAAAGGTATCAACGACTTTTCCTAATGTCCTCTGAAGTGCATGAAGCGAAAAACCTATCACTAGCCCACAGCCAAACTTTTTTTTTTTTTTTTTTTTTTAGGACCAGGAGCTTGACAGATTTAGTGCGATCACAGAGATATCCCACGAAGGCCAATCACGAAGATGTCACACAATGTCAAACTTTGCAAAGCCCTCTTCCTCTCTCCCCCTTCCCCCACCCACCTCGACGCGGCCCTATAAAACTGACCTTTTTCGAATATAACCAAATTCTAGAAAACGGATTACACACATTTTATCAGTTTTTATCGGTTTAAACCGAAAACGCCGAACCTACAAACTAACCTTTTTCGGTTCAAACCGAATTTCCGAAAATGAATGTGGCGTAATTTTATCGGTTTAAACCGAAAACTCCGAACCCTAGTCATAGGGCATATTACGAACAAAGTGCAATTTGGTTTTGTACGAAACTACAACACACAAAACAGCACTCTAATACAGTATGTTGAGGTATCTCTGAACAAATTCCAGGGTTTCATGGTGCCTCCTTCAGATAACTGATGTTGAACATGAAATATGTGCAGCAAGGAGTGAGCAAACAGTGACTTCCAATTAGTCTCGCAACATGTTGACAAGGAGTGCAATGTGTAGAAGGTCGTCTAGAAGTGTGCAGCCAAGATGAAAAGGCAAGATACAACGATATCACACCAAAAATGCTCCGCTGTAGTGATCAGATAATCTACAATCTAGGCACAGTAATGAGACAACCGACGTACAGCCGCGATTCACTTTGCGTTGATTGAGGTGAAACATGGCCAACGAAAAGATAAAAAAAAAACAAAAAAAACGTGTTTTTGTTTTTTTTACATTATTTGTTTTCCGCAGTTGATGGCAGGGCAGTTGGGCGGCGTCACAAAAATCTGACTCACTTGCTAGCGTTTCTCAACTTCGTTCGACGCCAGTCGGCACCACTGATCAATGGTCGGCACCCGGGAGGAAAAAAGTACGAGCTCAGAGCCGAGCGTCGATCGCGACTTTCCTAAAGAGAAGCTCCGGTAACACTTCGGTGACTCGTCAGCTTCAAACAACGCCTCTTCGAACGAGCCCGCGAATCTAATGCGCCGAACGGTCGCGGCAGAAAGCACGCCGGAAGGAAGGGGGCTGGAGGCTGAGTATCCAAAAGAGACGCGGCGCAGGTTTCTACGTCTATTTCGCGCATGAGATAACAAGATAGCAAAGCTAGCCGAGTGTGAACACTGACTGACGTTACACTGGAGTACACGCAGTTGAAATGACGCCTGCAACAGAGCACATCTAGAGGCTTTCAACAGGGGACACATGCGTTCAAATAAGCTGCGATTTCAAAACTTCACGTCCCCTTTCTGTCCGTCGGTGTTTACTTTGATCCTTGTACACAAAAGCACTCAATGCTGCACGTAATAAAGTCGCGTATACGTTACCTTTCGAAGCCTTTGAAAGTGGGTTGGCTTCACTTGATGCCCACGAGCAAAGAGCGCGACGTAAAACTGTCCGTCGGTCGCGCCGACGCGACCGATGCCCGCCCGCTGCGCACTGCGCATGCTCGGCGGCTCGGCTTGGCAGCTCCAGCGGCTCTCTCTGCTGGCTCGGCGGCTCGGCCTCGGCTCGCTCGGCCGCTCGGCCGGCTCGGCTGCCTCGGCAGCACAGGCTGGCGCCCTTCGAATTGCCTCCGGAATGCGAGCGGGCGCGCGTGCGGGTTGGCGATGGAAACTCATCTTCTTAAAAAACAAGGCTGTAACGTATCGTTTGATGGCGCAAATGGACTTTTTTTTTTTCACGTCGTTTTTTTATACAGTGTGTGAATCTCGCGAAACAGGCGACGAAGAGTGGTGGGTGAAATGTGCTCGCATGTTGTCGTGTATTTTGTGTACGACGTAGGATTACCCACAAAGGCGGGTCAATATCGATAACTGTGCGCGTAAGAAGCAATTACATGCACGTGACTTGTCAAACCTGTAAGAACAGAACGAGCGGGTTGGTAGGGATAATTAAACCGTCCCTTCTCGTTTTCTCCCTCAAGTTTAATTATCCATACCAACCCGCTCGTTCTGTCCTAACCCGAATTTGCCCCTGTTGAAATTCTTTAAGCTGCAATTATCCTTTCCTATGGAAGTTTGTGTTTGTCCGTCCCTTCTCATTTTCTTCCTCCAGTTTAATTTAGTCAAACCTATTCACCCTCCTTATTTTGATCCTGCGAACCGACATTGTCATGTATTGCGTTCGATTTGGGTCCCAACACTGGTAACCTCAAATTGTATATCGTGTTCGATGTTGTATATCCCACCGCCGGTAACTTTAGTATTGTATTCCGGTACGTTGGGCTTGTCGTTTGGCGATCAACTTTTGTTGCATTACAACCACTGGAATAAACATTTGTTGGAAAACGATCACTCCAAGAAGCACGTCGTTATTGGGCTTCCTAATTAAAAGGTAGGCCGCGGGTGTTCCAGCTAGTCATTCTGAATGGGTTGGTGGTTGCCTAGCATTTCAAGCGCGCGAGGCTCTGGTTGGTGTGTGCCGTTCCAACAGCCGTACATACTTGCACTGTCGATCAATGTTAAAATGTGCAACGCAGAACGTTTGTGTTCCGTGTGTATCCACCCAATAACTTTCTCTCGCGTATTGCCGTGTGGTAACTCGTGCTGTTTTACGATATCATTCACGCGATGTCGTATACGTGGGCATACCGATATCCACATGTAGCTTCACGAACGCTCAATGTCCATTTTGAAAAAAACAGCGCGAAAAACACACGGACAAGAAGAGAGAACACACACAACTTTCCATTCTAGTACGCTCAATATCGTGTAACGTTTCCGCGGTATATGCCGGCGTAATTCATGTTGGTAACTTGGTATCCGTTCTGAGATATATATGCACGCGATATAATATTGTATTCTCCTTTGGGCCCGTGATTAACGACCAATATTTATAAATTGCGTGGCCGTACAGTATGTCCATGTCGTAATCTATTCCAATAACCACCCTTTCGGAATTTCGGCAGACTAAAAAAAATTTAGCCGGAATAGTAAAACATCTAGCAACATTGGGTGATCGCCGCCATTACGCAGGGTTCGACTCGTTCGACCGGTCGGCGTGCAGCGTGTATACTACAGTGTACTAGAATACTTGGGCAGTGTTGGGACCGGAGCGGCTCGGCAACGGGAGCTCGTGAGGGCGCGTGTATTGACAGTTCGTGGCGGCGCTGTAGTCGAGTTATCCGGCTCGCGCAGCCCGCCTTTTTTTTCTTTTTTTTCTTTTTTCTCTTTGAGCGGTGCATGTATCGAAAGCTAGGAGCGCGAGCTCATAGCGTTGGCAGCTGCCCTTGGTGCACGGGGGCTCGTGCCGCCGAGATGTGCCCTAGAGCAAGAAGGTCGCGCTTGTAGCCTTTCCTGCGGTACAACACAAGGTGAAACAGAGTATAAGGCACGTAAAAAAAGTCAGTATTTTCAAATCTTTTTTTTTTTTTTTTTTTAATTTTTGCGGTAGGTTAATGAAATGTTTGATGGGCCATGTTGCAATTGCAGCTTTAAAGGGAGCCATCATTAAAGGCCAACCTAATTTAAAAAGTTCGCGAACAAACAACGAGCTTTGAGCGAAAGTAACAAGGCGTTCGTTTTTGCTGTGTTTGTCCGTCTATTTTCGTTTCTTCCTCAAGCTTAATTATCTCTACCAACCCGCTCGTTCTGTCCTGAGATATTCATCGCAAAAATTTTGCCTTTCTTCACTTAATTAAAAAAACTGCGCGCTGAAAGCGTGAATGAGGTTGTGTTGATATTGATGCGTAGAAGAATGACGCAGTTGTTTCTGTCCCCTCGTCACTAACTCGACAGCATTTCTTCGGTAACCTCGCCGGCGCCACACATCAAGACGACTAAGTTACTATTCTACGTATTATTTTCATAACGCGGTTTCTGAATCAAGCGAAGAAAGGCAAACTTTTACGATTAATTTTGCGAACCTCGTTGCCTTTTCGCGAATTGTCGAAATTGTGTTTGCCTTTAATAATGACTCCTTTTAAAACTGCAATTGCACCATGGCCAATTAAGCCGTTAATAAACAAGTTAACTA